GCTGGAGCAGGTGGAGCTTCTGCAGGGGCCTCCTCAGCTGGTGTGGGTGGAGCTTCTGCAGGGGCCTCCTCAGCTGGTGGAGGTGGAATTTCTGCAGGGGCCTCCTCAGCTGGTCCAGGTGGGACTTCTTCAGGGGCCTCCTCAGCTGGTGGAGGTGAAATTTCTACAGGGGCCTCCTCAGCTGGAGCAGGTGGACCTTCTGCAGGGACCCCTTCAGCTGGTACAGGTGGAGCTTCTGCAGGGGCCTCCTCTGCAGGTGCAAGTGGAGCTTCTGTAGAGGCCTCCTCAGCAGGTGGAGCTTCTGCAGGGGTCTCCTCAGCTGGAGCAGGTGAAGCTTCTGCAGGGGCCTCCTCAGCTGGTACAGGTGGAGCTTCTGCAGGGGCCTCCTCAGCTGGTGGAGGTGGAATTTCTGCAGGGGCCTCCTCAGCTGGAGCAGGTGGAGCTTCCTCAGGGGCCTCCTCAGCTGGTGGAGGTGAAATTTCTACAGGGGCCTCCTCAGCTGGAGCAGGAGGAGCTTCGGCAGGGGCCTCCTCAGCTGGTGCAAGTGGATGTTCAGCTGGGGCCTCCTCAGCAGGTGGAGCTTCTGCAGGGGTCTCCTCAGCTGGAGCAGGTGAAGCTTCTGCAGGGGCCTCCTCAGCTGGAGCAGGTGGAGCTTCTGCAGGGGCCTCCTCAGCAGGTGGAGCTTCTGTAGGGGCCTCCTCAGCTGGAGCAGGTGAAGCTTCTGCAGGGGCCTCCTCAGCTGGTGGAGGCAGAAATCTTGCAGGTGCTACTTCTTCAGGAGCATCCTCTGCTGATGGACGCTGACCTCCTTCAAAGACACCTTCTATAGGAAATTCCTCAGCTAGTACCACAGCAATTTCTGCTGAGACTGCTTCTAATGTGTGCTTATCTAATGGTGGCTGAACTTCTTTAAAAGCCCCCTCAGATGGTAGAGGTTGACCTCCGTCAGTGGACTCTTCAACAGTAGCAGATTCTTCTTCGCCTGCTACATTTTGGATCTTCACAAACACTTCTGTGAATGGAACCACAATTTCAATAGGTTGTTCTTCATTTTCCACCTCAACTTTTTGGAGATACTCTCGATCATAAGGCTCATATGAAAGGGCCCCTTGCACTGACAGATGACTAATGTCACCATGGGCTTCAGAAGGAAGCTCATCAGCTGTTAGAGCCTGGATTTCTCCAGAAAATGCCCCTCCAGTGAAAGGCATCATGGCATCAGGGATGTTTTCACCTGACAGTACCTCTAATTCAAGAGAACCATCTACTTCAAATGAGGAACCCTCTTGTGTAGCAGGTATTGTTTCCTCCTTTGGCTTAAGCAGGGAACTACCTGGCATATTCATGATGGTAATTTCTAATTCACTGAAGTATGTCTGTTGTTCTTTGTCCACTGTTTCTTTTGGGCAAATGTACATCACACTAAAGTCACCAGTACAGCTGGTCTGCTGAGATCTGTCTATTAACCGAGCTGTGGGTCTGCTTGTTGGAATCTCTACTTCTGGAACACACTGTGGCAATTCAGGAGCTGTTTCTCCAACACCAGCTGGGGTTTCTTCAAGGGTAAGTGTTTTATCAGAGAGTGTGGCTTTCGCTTTTTCTTCCACAGAAGCCTCTGTCTGCAGAGACTTATCGGTCATCTCCATGCCTCGCTTTCTCTTCATCCAAGTTTGTTGAAGTTGAGAAGACAGTCTAAGAGACTCATATTCTTTTGCCGAGTAGTTGTCTTTGCTTCCAGAAATATTACCAATACTCTGGGTAGCTTTGGGGACAGGAGGTTGTGCTACAGCCATGGGTTTCTTTTTTTCTGGTGCATCAGTTTGCTGGGACTTGTCTACCAGCGGTTGGCTGGGTCGTCTTCTCCTTCTAAATTCCTGCCTCCCTAATGAGATAGGCTGTTCAGGCTCATCACTTTCTTCCATTTTTATGACTGATGATATCCAAATTTATGAGTCTTCAAGTAGTTAATCATTAAGAATCATAAATGTACCCGGTGGTTAAGCCTTTAACTTCCTTCATTGAGTTTTTCTATGGAGTTTAGAAAAAAATAATTCATAAATTATTGGCATTCTTTACTACCTTCCTGTTGGATCCCACCTTACTCATTCATCATCCTTCCTGTTTAGTCTCTGTTAGAACAAATCTCTTTTAGAAGTTCCCTCAAGGGTCTGTGACATCACAGCCACTTCTTACAAGGTTCCGGAAGTTATGTTTCCACCAGTTTTAAGCTTGGTTTATTCACATAAGCAATGACTAAATGTGAAGTGTCTAGGTTTTTTTTGTTTTTGTTTTTAAAAAAAATCAGGTTGAAAATGAATTTCTTTCCCAGATGAGTAACAATTTAACTCCAAGAGAGCCACTAATTGTTAAAGGTGATCTTTTTGAGCTTACAACTTGATTCTTTTCCTTCTACTAACAAATTATACTACAGAACTTAGTATGGGCAGGTTGTCCATTATTAGAGTTAGTGTGTGTGTGTAGGAATGCCTGATAAATGGATGTCTATAGGATTTCAAAAGAAACTGCCTCTCTTTAGAAGACTCTCAATTTGGAATTCAATATCTATGGAAGCTTCATTCCTTTGCCTTTAACCTTTCATGACTACAGCCTTCTACTACTAAAAGATAATACATGTTTTCAGTCTCAAGCAATGTAAAGTATTTTTCATTTATTTTGAATTATTTTATAAAGTAGTTTTATCCAAATTTTTACAGATGTAAGGCTACTGAGTCTAAATACATGTCAGGTTAAACACAATATTTTTAAAGTAGTTTCTACAGATTCTGCTGAATGATCACATGGAATGAATGCTTCAAGGGGACAAGTCATCTGATAATGAATGGGATTGGTTTCATTGAGGGGTTTGATAGGGCTGAAAGGAAAATGAGAAAGGGTGAGAGGAGAATATATTGTATACAATTTAGGAAACTTTCAAATAGCAAAATTATTGGTAAAATTTTGTATTGAATTGGAAAATAGAAACCCCACATAAGCATATCCTAGGCGGTAAGTTGAGATTATATNTATCACATTTATAGATATAAAACCTTTTACTTATATATAACACAAGAATTTCTTTATTGCTTCAGGACAATATGAAAGCAAATGAAACAATCCTTGTTGCTAGACAGTAGTGGCATGAATGAGTCCCTTGTACATTCCTTCAAATATAAATTGAAACCCAAGGCTAGAAGTTCTTCTAGACCTTTCTAGAATAAACCATCTACAAACTAGGGAGACACAGATCAACTTTTAGTATATTCTTTGTTTCTACTAGTAATAATGAGCTCATAGCCATGAATGACCATGCATGCACAACCAATTAATGATTCTACCTAAGATTATAACAGGCTTGTGAAGCACTAATTTTCTCATGCTAATTTTTCTTTAATAAAGAAAATATGTTTTCAATAAAGAAAATATATTCTTTTCTCATTCGATATATCCTGATTACAGTTTCCCCTCCCTTTACTCCTCCCAGTTCCTCCACGCCTCCTCTTCCCTCCAGATTCACTCCCTTTCCGTCTCTCATTAGCAAAGAGCAAACTTCTAAGAGATAACAGCTGAACATGACAAAATTGAAACATAATAAGATAAATCAAAACCATCACATCGAGGTTGGACAAGGCAACCCAATGGAAGGAAAAGAGCCTCGATAGCAGGCACAAGAGTCAGAGACATGCTCACTTACACACTCAGGAGTCCCATGAAAATATTAAACTGAAAGCTACAACATAAATGAAGGTGAATTGGTGCAGACCGGTATGATCTCTGTACTTGCTGCTTCAATATCTTTATGTTCCTATGCACCTTGCTCAGTTGACTGGCGGGGGGTGGGGAGGGGAAGCGGTAAACCTTGTTCTCCTGTTGTCCTCCATCCCTTCTGGCATATCCATACACTCTTCCCTGTTCTGAGGGGTTCCCTCATCTCTGAAGAAATTTGATAGAGACATCTCATTTAGAGCTGTGGCTGTGTCTTTCCAAAGACTGTCTCTGACTGTGGATCTCTGCATCTGTTTCTGTCTACTACAGGAGAAAGCACCTCTGATGATCTCACATGATTTCTTAAAACCTACAGATGTTTTCAAAGATGTTTCCAGGGGTGACCTCATTACTCTCTGTTTAAGACTTGGAAGTTCAGTCTTTTTCTTGGTAATCTCACATGGCTTAGCACTTCTTACTTGATTCACACACATTAATTATTAATCTGTGATTCCCAAATGAAACTGAAATCCTAAACTTAGTATCTGTGGATGCGACTTTGTTTAATAAAAGGGTATTGACTGGGAACATGATAGGTATTCCTTTAATCCCAGCACTAGAGAAAGAGACAGTCAGATCATTGTTGAAACCAGCCTGGTCTACAAACAGGTTACAAGGCTAGTCAGAGCTACATAGGGAGGAGACCAAGTCTTTTTAAAAAAAAATAATAAAATGTCTCTGCATATGTAATCAAATTAAAATGCTAGTCTTACAAAAAAGAGAATATTTAGAATGTGTCCTCTGAGAGACTACCCGTGCTCCAGCAGAGTGTCCCACATCTAGGCATATACAGGTAGCTCTGAGTGGACTCACTAGGTTTTATAAGAAAAGCAAGTTAGTAGAGAAAAGTGATGGAGAGAGAGAGAAATTGAAGGGGAAGGAATAGAGGCTAGACTTTATCAGAACATGTGTGAAATTATTAAAAAGTACTGTTAGGTAATGAGGAGAGAAAGGATTTGTAAGTGTGTAAATTTGGAAGTGTGTAGAACGCGAATAAAGTAGTCCCATACTAGCTCAGAATTGAGTATAATAAGAGGGGTTTTTTCTATTATTTAGGGAGGACTCGCAGATCACAGTCCTCTGCATGAACACGGAGCAGTAAAAGTGGGGGTTATGTTAGGAAGCAAAGGCCACACTCTTAGAATTATGAAAGCAAGCAGGTCAAGAGTGGGATGGTGGTATAATGGAATGTGCTGGAAGAAGTTGATGAGGGTCACAGTAACTTACAGAATACCCCTAGAAATACTATTTTGTTTTAAACACCGTAAAATGACTTCCGTTCTCTCTATTAAGATAGCTATGTGGAGAAGGAAATGAGTTTTGTACTTCTGCATTGTAAATGGCCACAAATGTAGCACGATAAACCAACACAGATGTACCATCTCACCGTTTCCATAAGAGTCAAGGTTAAGAGCTGAGGCAAAGATGGTCTGGATTCTCTAATCTGACTCCCACTAGGTAAATTGTACCATTCGAGGGAGACACTGTTACCCATATTCAGAGCCTCTTTCTGGCTCATTGAGCACCAGCAAAATGATTCAGATTGCAGGACCCCAGACCCAGTTATTTTGCTACAGACAGCTAGGGCAACTTTTGGCTACTAATAGCTTCTATCACATTCTGGTCAAAACAGTCACCTCACAGCATGGAAGGCTGCAAGGACAATCTCTTTTCCATATGCGAGAGGAGAGCCTTGCCCTTTCTCCTATAACAAAACCCAACTGGGAAAGTGAATACTCCATGTTCTTTAGACACTCCATGCGTACACTCATGTTGTAAACTGGCAGGGTGCAGGGCAGAGATCTATAAGGTCATCATAGAGGTTTATATATCCTAGACAGTAAGAATAAAACTCCAACAATCAGGAAGAGTGCCAACAAGAAAGGAGAACCCATGGCAAAACCCCGACTACCATGCATTTAAAAGCCAGGTAGTGCTGGGACTAGAAAATAGGAATGCAAGGGAATAATGAAAGGACAGCAGTGTGGATAGACACGGGAGGAGAGGATATTGATCCATGTTGCAATGAACAAGAATTGGATTAGAACTAAGGGACAAAGGAAAGAAAGGTCTCTGGGGGAGAGATGATGAGTTTTCTAGAGGTGCGTGGCCCCTAGTCGGTTGCCTGTGCTCCAGTGAACCACACCCATACCAGTGTGCATATGGGCAACACTGATTAGACTCGGTGAGGTCTAAAGAGAAGTGAGGAGGGAAAATGACATGAAGTTGGGAGCGGGTGTGGTGATGCCATCTGCAAAGAAGGATGGGTGTGATCAAAATGCATTGTGTACGTGTGTGAAATTCTCAAATAAATAAAAATATGGTTATAAAGAATCAGTATCAAGATACTGGTTTTGAAAGCTATGCGAATGGAAATACCATTTACTGAAATGGTGAGAGAGTGAGAAGCAAGGATCAGCTAATGAAAACAATATCCAGGTTTAAATGTGAACATTTTGATTTTTGAGATGCCTATGGAAAGAAAACTGGAGATGTTAGGAGATTTACTGGATGAACTCCAAATGTAGAAATGACATGAGATATGCTTATGAACCTCATTGAAAATAAGAACAATATTTACAACCATGAGTTGGATATAACAAAGTTCAAAAAAGCTGTCTACAATTGAGCCTGCTAACCAATAGAGCATTTGATGTAAGACAGAAAAAGAAGCCAGCAGAAAGTAACTAAAGGTAAAAATGCATAAATAGGAAACTGGGAAGCTGTGTTGTAGACACTATAGCAGAAAATGATTCAAGAGTGGCTACTCTTGTTGGATGATGTGAGGGGTCTGAGTGCTACTGAATTTGTCAGTGTGGTTGGTAATTGAATTTACATAAGGTATTCTCATTGAAGGACTTAACTCGAAGCTATGTGGCATATACTGGAAGAGGAAATCTGCTCACAGGTATCAGATAGCTCTCAAAAAAAGTTTAAGCTAAAGATGATAGAACAAAATACTTGTTGTCCTATGAAACAACTGGATACTTTCAATTTTAATAAAAAGGGAATGGAAAATAGTATATTTTTATTTTTAAATATTGTGTAACCATTGGGAATTATGCTACTGAAAAAACAGTAGATAGATAACAACCATGGATACATACTAATTTTAAAAGGAAGACAAATATAATAAGCATATTTTCATATGATAAATATA